AGTCTCCAGACTGGCAGGTAGGATGCAAATTTCATCCTCCAAATGGATGCACAAAGCACACCTGTGCATCAAGTTCATAGACCTCACCCTTAGGCAGCACACAGACGTGTGCTAGGAGGGAGACTACATAAGAGACTCTGGTTTGCCCAACACAGGACACAACTCAGGGCACATGTGTGAGGAAGGTCACCTCTTCATACACCAAGGGAAGAGCACTTATGTGGTAGCACAGGGTAGTGACTCAAACTGTTATATCTGTAAACTTGATGCTAATGGAGGTTCCCATTTAAAAAAAAAAAAAAATCCTCCCCTTGAAAATTCAGAAATGCACATTAGCATATACAGCAGGAATGAAAAGTGTGCCTCTCAGATGTCAGTTCCAAGGATATCACTGACTAACATCTCTAGCTGGCCTGCTTTAAAATTCATTAAATTACAGGCATAGTGGCTCATGCCTATAATCCTAGCATTCTGGGAGGCTGAGTTGGGTGGATTACCTGAACTCAGGAGTTCAAGACCAGTCTGAGCAAGAGTGAGATTCCATTTCTAAAAATAGTTGGGTGTTGTGGCAGGTGCCTATAGTCCCAGCTAGTTAGGAGGCTGAAGCAAGAGAATTGCTTGAGCCCAAGAGTTTGAAGTTGCTGTGAGTTATGACACCATGGCACTCTACTGAGGGTGACAAAGTGAGACTCTCTCTCAAAAAATAAAAAATAAATAAATAAATTTAAAAATAAATAAGATCTATCCCTGTGTTAAATCTAAGGCCAGATTCCCACAGGCTTTTCCTGGTGAATGAAGGGTATGACAGGTCCACTAAGGCAGGCCTATTCCAGCAGGACTCCTCTGATGAGCACCTTTGGTCTGATGACTCTCTCCTTGGCTTTGTGGAAACTCTTAGAACTACACTGGGATTGAAGACATTCCCATCTTTCTCCCTCCTTCCCCTTCCCCTTGTCAAGGGCCAGGCCTGCATCTCAGTGAGGGCTCTCCTAGCCTCCTTGAGCTCCTTCCCTGTTTCTTCTCATAGGTTTTCCTCCAATAAATCTCTTGCACTTTTTCTTAGAGGACCAGACTAATCTACACCTTAGAAGCTCTGAGAAGTCCTACAGTTAAGAGGCTTCTTTAACTCAGTATTTCCCACCCATTTTACTAAACAACACACCTTCTTTTTCATGGAATACCCATCGAAAGTTGATGGGAACTTGGGTCGAAAATTGCCATAGAAAAGAAGACTAAAATAACAACCAGAAACTCTGCCTTCTGGTTCTGGGTCCTCTACTAATAAAAATCCTCTAATACCAAGGTAACATTTCTGTGGTACATCAAAATTTCAGGCACCTGGTGTATATTCTCCTTCTGCCACTTAATTAGTCAAGCACTACTCCAGCTATTGAATTGAAGGGAGTTTGCAGGTGTAAGTAAGGCCCCAAATCAGTTGTCCTTAGACTAGGGAGATCTTCTGGAACTTGACCTCACCACATGAGCCCTGTTACACCTGGGTCTAGTAGTCAGAGAAGGGAAGTCAGAGAGATCCGAGAATGAGAAGGACTCTATGAGGACATCCACTGGTTCCTCAGGGCAAGGAACATGGTGGCCTCTAAGAGCAAAAGATGCCCCAGGCTGCCAGCCAGCAAGGAAACAGTCCTACAACCATAAGAAACTGATTTTGTGGTAATTTGCTGCACAGCAACAGAAAGACAAATGACTCCACATTGTGATTTCATATTCATCATTTGTATGGAACCCCAAACTCTTAAATATTGGAAAAAGGAGACTAGGAGCAAGTAATGTACCTCACAGCTGATAAATTACCGTTTGGAACTCACACAGTAGAGATGTCCATAGTCAGCCTTAGCACACTTCCTCCTGGCTGGGTAAGCCCTCAGAGGTAGAGAGAATGCACCAAATGCCTCCCTATGCTATCCTACCCTCAGGGCTGCTGGAAGGACCAGAGGGCAGAAGAACAGGACAAGGAGAGGATACAGGTTCCTAATTAAGGTGGTGAGTGCTCTTAGTGAGTGCCCCAATGTAACTCAGAGACATTCTCCTTTAGGACACTGCCATGTCACGGAGAAGGATTCATTGATCCATGAGAAGGACTCATTGATTTGTGTCTCCCCTTCATCTACTTACAGCTATTTGTTGTTTTTTGTTTGTTTGTTGCAGTTTTTGGCCAGGGCTGGGTTTGAACCCGCCACCTCCAGCATATGAGGCCAGTGCCCTACTCCTTTGAGCCACAGCGCCACCCCTACAGTTATTGTTTTTTAAAAAATTGATTGCTTGTCCATCTAACAAACAGGGCCTTTCCTATGGAGATCCCCGGAAACTTCCTTCTACACAGTGAGTTTTTGAAAGTGGGCAGGGCCACTCAAGCCAAGGCCTTTCTGACTAGTCAGGCCCTTAAGCGAGAGTGTCATGTTCACTCAGAGGTCTCCTGGGTCACACTGCTCCCTTTGTACCTTTTCTTTCATCAGGGACCCCTCCTCAACTCCTTAATTCCATTTCCCTACAGAAATCCACTGCCCTCTTCGCCATTCTGGATGCAACTAATCCTTAGATCCCTCACATTGATTCTTAGATCCCTCTTTCTTGCTAAGGCCTAAATCATAGTGCCTTAAAGCAGGAGTTCTTAATGTGGGGAAGATCTGTGACTCCCTGAAAGTGTGTGCAAAATTCTGTGTGAATGTGACTTCTGCAGATTCTCAAAGGGGCTAAGTCTTAAAACAGGCTGAGAATCACTAGATAAAACTGTTTCTCCAAAGTCCCATACAATGGGGGCTACTTGGGACTCCTGTGTGTCAAAAAACTCATCTGCATCCAGTCGCTGGGCAGCAGTCCTCACAGGTAACAGGAACTGGTGACAGCAAGAATCCAAGACATATATGGATACTCCATTCGTGGGCACAGTTCCAAGGCTCGGGACTTTTTTTCACCCTCGGGTCTCACTCATGGGAGCCAGTCCCCACCTATCTATGGAAGACTGTCCCAGCAACTGGCCTCTCAGAGGAAATGCTCTGGGGTGCTCACGCTGCTCCCTTTACCTTCTTCTTCTTTTTTTTTTTTTTTTTGCAGTTTTCGGTCGGGGCTGGGTTTAAACCCACCACCTCTGGCATATGGGGCCAGTGCCCTACTCCTTTGAGCCATAGGCGCTGCCCCTGCTCTCTTTACCTTCAATCCTTTCCCAAACTTAGTCCACCCGGGGAATGTCTGCCTCTTCTTTTTAACTGATAAATCAAAATTTTATATATTTACAGTGTATGTAGTATAACAAAGTATTTTGAAATATGTTTTGATACCTTGTGGGATGGCTAAATTTTGAGCTAATTAATATATGCATCACTCCACATATTCATCCTTGTTTTGTAGTGAGGACACTGAAAATTTGGTGGTTTTCATTTCTGCAGCACGGTGTTGTCAGTTCAATGTTTTTAGTTTCCACACAGACTTGACATCATGTGCTACTTGTCTTTCCCTGCCTGGTTTATTTCACTTAACAGGTTCACCCATGTTGTCACAAGTGACAGGATTGCCTTCTTTTGAAAGGCTGGATAGTCTTGGTTCCCTTAGCACAGTGGTTATGGTGCCAGCCACATGCACTGAGGCTGGCAGGTTTGAACCTGGCCCAGGCCAGCTAAACAATGACAACTGCAAAAACAAAAAAATAGCCAGATGTTGTGGTGGGCAACCATAGTTCCAGCTATTTGGGAGGCTGAGGCAAGAAAATCTCTTAAGCCCAAAAGTTTGAAGTTGCTGTGAGCTGTGATGCCATAGCACTCTACTGAGGGTAACATAGTAAGACTCTGTCTCAAAAGAAAGAAACAAAGGCTGGATAGTATGCTATTGTATGCCGTGTTGGCTTTACCCATTCATTGTGGATAGATACTTAGATCAATTCCATGCTGTGGCTATCATGACAAAGGCTTCATTGGGAAATGAGGAAAAGCTTTCAATGTCTGCCCACTGAGTACAATGCTAGCTTTGGGCTGGTCCTCTATGGTCTCTATTGTTGTGTGGCACAATCCTTCTCTACCTAATTAGTTGAGAGTTTTTAGCATGAAAGGATCTTGACTTTTGTCAAATGCTTTTTCTGGGTCTCTTGAGACAATCATATGGTTCTTGTCCTTCATGCTTGTCATGTGCTATAGCACATTCATGAATTTGTGTTGAACCGCCCCTGCATCCCTGAGGTAAATCCCCCTTGCCTGGGGTGAATGATTTCTTTTAATGTGATTCTCAATTTAATGTGCTGTATTTTGTTGAGAATTTTTGCATGTATAATTTGCAGGGATATTGGCCTATAATTGTATTTTCTTGTAGTGTCCTTGCTTGGTTTTGGCACAAGGGTAGTTCTGGCTTCATAAATGAGTGTCTCTAATTTTCTTAAATGTTTCTGGAAGAGTTGGAGAAGGACTGTTAGTTCTTTAAAGATGTGGTAGAATTCAGCAGTGAAGCCATCAGGTTCTTAGCTTTTCTTTCATAGGGGACTTTTTAGTCAACCTTCTGACTTGTTATTGGTCTATGAAGTCTCCCTCATTCCTCAAGGTGCAATTCAAATGTCACCCCTTCTGAGAAGCTTCCTTAAATTCCTGCAGGCAGAACTAATCATGGTTTCTGTGTTTCTTCTATTCCCCCTTCACTGTAAATGGGAAGCATCTCCAGGACAAGCACAGCGGTCTCTCCATCTCCCCTCCCCCAGCTCTGTTTACAGTGGCTACTCAATAAGCATGGGATGTGTTGACCAATGTCAGCAAACTGCCTGTAAGGGGCCAGATAGGAAATATTTTGGGCTTTGCTAGTCATACAGTCTTTGTACAGCTGGTCTGCTCTGCTGTTGTAGCTCAGAGGCAGGCTTGGGCAATACGTAAACTATATGGAAAGGAACGGGCATGGCCGGGTTCCAGGGAAAACCTTATTTACATACACAGGCTGTAGTAGGAACTAGTAATAAATATGGAATGCATGAACTAGGTCTATTTCCTTCTCAGTCCCATCCCAATCACCTGGGAAATGTAGAAAGACCTTAGATCTGTCAATGCCAAAGTTGTTAACCGTCGCATTAACCAGTTCACCTGCTTCTTGAGTTTGGATGGTGGGATGAGGAAGAAGAGGTGGCTGGTGATCACCAGGACTTTCTCTGCCACCTGTACCCAAAGAGACAGAATAAATTTGCCTCGGTTCATCACTCATCTTCACATTCCCAGGGCCCAGTGCAGTACCTAGCAGGTAGAGGGTGCTCAGGTAAGTGCAAATGACAGAACTGCATAATTTATGAATAAGTGAATGGATAGTGGAGTGTTTTCTGACTGTACCCTTTCCTGGACAATGGTAAGAGGTGGCTGAAGAGAGTTGCCCTCCTCCCTTGGAAGAACCTGGCAAATCAAACTTCCTCAGCCAAATGGACAAATATTGCCCCTCCCCACCTTTGTCTCAAGCCTCCCCCTTTCAGCCCATCCACCCAACCTCAGCTACCCCCACTCTCACCCTGCTCTTGGTCACCAAGGGCCAACGGTTGAAGAGAACCCGAAGAGTGAGGTAGGCCTTGATGGCCAGTTCATTGGAGGCAATGTCCATCGCGTGCTCCCCCACAGAGCCCATATCCAGGTGCTTCCGGGCACTGGTAGCCAGTCCACTGACCACTGTGAGGGAAGTAGGGAGTTGAGGCTACCCATCACCTTCCCCTCCCCACAGAGGAAACAGACACACACATATACATGCACACAGACCTCCTACCTGGCTTTAAGAGGGCCCCTGGGGTCCTGTGCTGCAAACACTTACCCATCTCCCATCTCCCATCTCCCATCTCCCCAACTATCCTCCTCCCTTCTGAAGGCACCTGGTTCACCCAGAGGACTAAGGAAATTTCTGAGGCTGTCAACACCCATAGCCTTCCTATCAAGTTTGGTCCTGGCCCCAAACCAGGTGTTGGAGCACAGTGTCTGTTCACACCCTGGCCTCCTCCCATCCTTCCCCAAGCTTCTGGAATCCACCCACATTCAGGGAATCCCTCTTTTCCTGCCCTTCTTTCTTCCCACCCCAAATCCCACAGAGCTTTCCCCAGGCCCTCTGACCCTCACCCTGACACAGCACCAACATCTCCTTCTCTGCCTCCTGGGTCCTCCTCAGCAGGCGCAAGACATATGCCCATGTGGCACCAATGTACATGGCTGTACCTGGGAAGGAGAGGGCATGTCCTAGGGAGGGGAGCCCCCAGCCACACTGCAGTGTGGGAGGCCTTTTTGATTTGATGTTATGAGGCCTGGCTTCTGACCCTAGGTTTGTTTGTTTGTTTTCTATTTTTTTTTGTTGTTGTTGTTGTTTGTTTTTGTAGAGACAGAGTCTCCTCACTTTATTTCCCTCAATAGAGTGCCACAGTGTCACACAGCTCACAGCAACCTCCTACTCCTGGGCTTAGGCTATTCTCTTGCCACAGCTTCCCAAGTAGCTGGGATTATAGGCGCCCGCCACATTCTGACCCTAATTTTGCCTCCAAAGGGTCTGGGCAACATGAAGCAAAGTACTTCATTTACAGTACTACAGTCCTGACCTAGCTGTCTGTGAGAGGTAAAGTTCCACAGTAGACATGAACACAGCACACAAGTGCCAGGGATTGCCACAACCTGCACACGCATCCCCTTGGAGAATCCGACAGCTGTACTGTCTGAACTCAAGGAGAGAACATTGTTCTGGTTGGGTCAGGAGAGACACTTCTGGCTTCTGTTACTATATCCTCTGGGCTTGCATATAGCCCAGCCTTCATGCCTTGTCCTTTGGAACCTGATACCCAGTAGGCTAGTTTACTCCCTAGCCTCTGTCCCCAGATCCAAGTAGTCAACACAGGGCAGGGACTATCATTTGCCCAGTGACTAGATGTTTCTTTTGTTTTTTTAAATTGAGGGAGAGGAGTAGAATAGGTAAGAGAACCACTGTGCCACCAGGTGCCACAGGAATGGCATGGAGGTGGAGGTTGTGTGATGATAATCTACCTCACCCTGCTGCACGGTTGGGCTTCCACACCTCTTGTCCAATCCACAGCCCCAGCAATTCCCTGAGCACAGTGTCCTCATGCACCTTTGCCCTCCCACTGCTGCTGAGTGGTGCTTTTTGTTTTGCCTTCTGCTCCATCACTGTTCCTCACCCTTCTCCCCAGCCCATCTCCCACACCCTAAAACTCTTACTTCTGAGCATCTCTGCTGCCCAGGACTCATCCTGAGTTCCCATCAGTCCCACAGGGTCCTGCTTTGTCCCCATGCTCCCCTAAGCCCCCCATGATGGCTCAAATGGACCCATCCTGTGTAAGGTTTAGGGGAATCAAGAGTCTACATGGCACCCCACCGCTCCTGCCCCATCCTCTCCTTACACTAATTATCCCCTTATAGGGGTCCAGACCTGACTGCAGGATGAGTTTCCCCACTGCCAACAGGAGGGTCCTTGGGGGAAGTCTGCCCGAATACTGTTTGCTCCATAGGCTGGCCATGATTATTCCTGGGCAGGAAGACCCAAGAGCCACCAGGACTGAAGTAAACATCTCCTCCAGTTCTCCCTCAGGCTCCTGGAAAGAGAAGTACTAACTGTTCCCAGGTTCATCCCCAAGAAAGAGGGATCTCTTGATAGCAGTGGATCAACTTGGTCAATAAGTGATTCTCGTCCACCAAGAGGAAAGGCATGCACTCACCTCAACCTTCCACCTATCCCACATACACCTTCCCAGTGCTAAACAGAAGGAACTTCCACGAGTGTGCAAGAGGATAAGAAGGGACAAGTTCTCAGCCTGCAAAGTCTCTGGCTTGTGTTTTGGGGCAGGTGGGGACAGGCAGTTTCAGACCACAGAGCCTCCCTTGCAGCTGCAAGTGAACCATTGAGAAGGTGGGAGAAGTTGTGGAAGCAACCTTGGAAAGTCCCTGGGAGGTCAGAGGTCTAGGTCACAAGACAACTGTGACAAAGGAAGGCAAGTGAACCAGAAGAAAGGTATAGCCTAGGTAGTAGTTAACCAAGAAAATAAAACAGCAGATTAACTCAGTGTCAGGAAAGTAAATACAAAAAGCATATGGATGGATAGGTAGACATCATGACCATTCAAGCTAGAAGACAGGTGGGTGGATTTAAATAGGTCAAGAAATTGATTGGGATGATTAGTTGAGTTGCATTAACAAAGTGACTGCCTACAGTATCCCAGAAGGAGGTTTACAACACAGTCTGAAGCTGAGGCCAGTATAGCTCAAATCCTTGCCCATGTTCCATCTCACTTCTCCTGCCTTACCCCTTTATTCTATTACTGTGTCTTCCATTCAGTCTTCCAAGCTTTAAGACGTATTCAGGGTCCAAGCATACCCTGGGTAAACTAGCATCATTCTTATGAAACTTACTCTTTCATAAGAAGAACGTTTAGAAACTTGAGGCACTTACATCCCAGGTCCCACTTTCCACCATCCACTAAAAGGGAACTCCTGGGCTCAGATGGAAGGTCCTTTTGTTCCTTTCCCCCACCCTTGAGGCTAAAGCTCCTCACCATTATCCTCAGGCGGCTGGTGATAATATCTGTCACTCTCTGGTGTAATGCAGCTGAAATGGTGTTGTTTGAGATTTTTGATTCTAGCAACTTGAGGGCTTCTAGTTCATTATCTGCTGAAACCTAGAGAAAAGAGGGTGCTCAAGAAGAAAGGATGGAAATAATAAAGAGAATGACAATCTCTGATACAGAAAGAAAGCAGAGGAATGAATATAGGGTGAACATTAAAACTGGACCAGGGTTTGGGGGAGTGGAGAAGTTATGGGTCACACTAGGGACTGGGGAACCAAACCTGGAGTTCTGAATTAACTGGACTGAGCAGTGCTCTGCTGAAAGGAAATTCTTCCTGGGTACGTGCCAAACCAGCTACCTGGATGGAGGTGCCCTTACCCTGGCTGGGGCCAGAAATAATCTGGGATGTCCTCACCTTACTGACAATTTGGAGTGCCTCCAGAAAGTCTTTGGTGGTGCTTCCCAGTAAATCCCATTCCAAGTCCTTTTCAGTGCACTGGGAAGGCTGTGAGAACACTAAGGAACTCATAACTATAAATACTTCTGTAAGGAATAAAGAGGGCGAGAGGCTTATTTCTCTTCTGCTGGTGGGGGTTATTTCCTTGAAGGTATTTCATCATGATATGGTAAAAACATGCAAAGAATAATGTTTAAGAATCGGAAAACATAACTTTGGCTCCTGACACAGACTCTGCCCCTCACTAGCTACATATCCCTAGGCAATTTGCTTAACTCCTGGGGCCTTTATTTCCTCATATGTAAAATAAGTATAATAAAAACTAACATGAGAATTGAAAGAGATGAGGTCATGTGCTATTAGGTAGCAATTTTCAGGATATCAGCCTGCCCTTTGAATAATCTCTTATCCCTTGAGATCATAAGTACCTTTTGTGGGTGGTAGAGAGTTGTAGGGGCATGAGGTATTCATCTGCAGACTATGAAAAATTGATGACTATAAGCTACAAACATATTATAGTCACATATATACCTATAACCTTAGTTAATAGTGACAGGAAACAAGAAAACACAGCAAATTAATTTATGCAGGGCTCAGTTTAATACTAGCAAGAATTATTATTTATTTATTTATTTATTTCAATGTTCTGGTTTGTATTTATTAAAGACATTATTTAACTTCTCTATGCTTTGTTTTACTCTTTCATAAGAAGAATGTTCTGGTCTTTGTCAAAATAGTAGCTGTAATATGAGCATTATAGAGCTGTTATGAGCATTATATGAGATAATATATAAAATAACAGTGCCTAAAAGTAAAAAGTCAATAAATATTGATTATTATCATTATTACTCTTAGTTAGAAAGTGTTGACTCAGCACCCATAGCTCAGTGGTTAGGGCTCCAGCCACATACACTGGGGCTGGCGGGTTCAATATGGCCCAGGCCTGCTAAACAACAATAACAACTACAAAAATATATATATATATAGCCAGGCATTGTGGTAGGTGCCTGTAGTCTCAGCTACTTGGGAGGCTGAGGCAAGAGAATTGCCTAAGCCCAAGAGCTGGAGGTTGCTGTG